CGAGTGGATTTTGCTGTTGGCTGATAAGGCAGCAAGGCTCCTCGGGTGGCCCGTTTGGGGGGTGCAGCCCCCCCCTTTCCTGCTGAGCTGCATCCCAGTGCTCGCATCGTGCTGGGACTCGGCACAGCAGAGCACAGCTCGGTATCTGCAGCCTGAAGAATGAGTTATTGTGCCGCCAAGAATTGTTTGAAGAATTAAAATTGACCCATTTCCTTCAGGCACGGGGAAGTTAATACTCGGGAGTGTTAACATCGGAGGAGTGATTTGAGGAGTATTATTCGTCTAATCCCCGTGCTCGTATGTATGTAGGTATAAATAAAAGGGCCTCAAAGGTTGTTTCAGTATTTATTAACCTCTCCTCCGCTTCAGGGGCTCTACTTGGCCAAGGCTTTAAGCGGTTGGGTGTTTTCTTCTCAATTTGTGGAACTGGAGGAGCAACTGTAAACACCTCCCTGGATTGAAACTTGTCTTTGTCCAGGGTTTTGTAATCCAAGTTGCTACATTTGTGCTAATTTTTATGTTTTCCTGGCTTTTTTTAGGTAAGTGAACACGTTCAGAGGCGGGATTTGAACGCTGCTGTTCAGCAGGGGACAGGTACCACGCTCTGGCAGTGGATCAGGCAGTTGTCAGCTGGGAGATGCTTCGTTAGTAAGTCTAGAAATGATGGGTGGTGGCACGTAAAAAAATTATGATAAAAATGTTTCAACGGCTTTTGGAGGTTTTTCTGGGATTCTCCTGTTTGGGTGAGCAAAGGAAGACTCAGAACTTTTCCTTTCCCAACCCTATAGCGAAAATGCAAACACCCTTTCCCTTCTCGTGATTTCTGTTTGATTTTCCATAGTATATTTAGGAGTGTTACTCTTCAAGGAGTAATTTTTAAATGCAGCTTGATTCTTGGGCTTGGGAGTGTTCTGCAGCCTCGTGTTGAAAAGGAGCGTGAGGAGGAGGTAGGAGGCAGCAGGGGTGGTTTGTTGTTTTTTTAAATAATGCTTAATCTAGAATTAAATTCAGAGGAGTGCCTGGAGAAAATGAGATCTCTCTGATCAGATTCACCGAATAGTTTTTGTCTTCTCTAATAAGCAAGAAAAGCTAGTAGAGGGAATTACATGCTGGAAGGGGAATTTTAATAGCAACAGATATGCAAAGAGGGAAGTATCTCAGGTGAATAAGGAGTGCAGGCTGGCAAGCATCAGATCATTTCAGGCTCCAAGAATGAGACTTTCTGTGGTGCAGACACAAACCTGGCCCTCCCAAGCAAAGCCAGAGGAGAAGAATCAGTTCCCTTTGGCCTTCTGGGCTGTGAGGACCCACAGTCCCTGCCTGTTGTGGGCAGAGGCTCCCACCAGGAATAAAGAGGATGAAGCAGCAATCCTCAAACGTGGCTGGAGCAGCCTGGCTCCTGGCTGTGCAGGCTGCATCTGTGGCAATGAGTTTGAGACTCCTATTCAAAGTATCCCGCTCCTTTAGTTAAGGGGAGACATTTCACCTTGGTGACTATGATGGAGGACACTTCCCTGGATTTAGCTCGTTGTTTGAGGGTGCTGCATTTTACCGGAGGCGCAGCCACCACCAACCAGCTGAGTGTAGAGGTGAAGATCCTGCTTTTCCAAAGTCTTGGGCACATTGCAGGAAAACAGAGGCATCTCATAGTGGGCACAGCTGCTCCCGGTGTGTTTTTGCCTGGGATTCTGGTTAAATAACACAGGATTTTGCTGCGGGTGCCATTTGAGGTCAATTATTTGGTGGCGCCGTAACTAATTGTGATTAAAGCAGAAAGCTTTTTCCATTTTTTTGAAAAAGGAAGCATTAAAAGCTTTAATTTACTGCAGTGAGCTGCGGCTCATGGCCTGAGCAGACTGGTCTGGACGTGCAGGAGATGTTTCTTGCTCCAGCAATGCCCTCCTGAGCTCGGGAACCCAGTGCTGACAGCCAGGCTGCGTCTTCCAGCCGCGGTGCTCCAGAGAGGAACAGAGAGGGTGGGCTTCAGGGGGTGTTGGGCACCTGCCCCTCTTGGGAGAATCTGGACCTGTGGAGAAGTCTGTGGAGGGGGGGGGAAATAAAAATCAGGAGCCAGGACCAAGATAAATTACGTTCCAAATAGGACCTGCTTAGCCCCACAAACTGTGTGTGATGTGTAAATCCCAGCTTGGAGCAGCAACACCCGCGTCGCTGTGTTCAAACACTGAGATAAACACATCCATCTAAATTCATGATTTTGGGGTTTTTCATAGAGTTGCTAATTATTGAATGTAACTGGCTTATTCATAATTTCTCTTCTGCTGCCTGATAGCCCTAATCCCATATTTGTGCGGCCGTCATTCCCATGGCAACAGACTGGTGTCTGAGGCAGAAGATGATTAAATACCGAACAGCACATTAAAATAATGGGCAGGTTCTGACTTAGAGACTTTCGCATGGGGGCAAACTTCAAAAAAAGAGAACACTTTCACAAAAAGCAATTTACTTTGCCAGTAATGTTCTCTATTCCCACAGCTATTACTGAAGAGAGCTGTTTGAGGAGCAGCTCCCTTGCAGCCCATCTCCTGCTCCTCCCGCTTTGCAGAGAAATCCTCAGCTTATGTTTATGTCATCAGTCTGTTGCCATGGAAACTTTGTCACAAATGTATCGTGACCTCACAATGGGATGGCAAAGGAGGAGAATGTGGGCTGGAAGACGATGTTAGGAATGATCAGCAGCTGGGGAAAAACAGCCCCAAGCCTTGAGAGATGGAACAAAACAAAGTGGAGAGAAGGAGCTGGAGCTCGTTTAACTGGTCACTGGTGCAGGCACCTGTCCCACCACGCTGCTGATAGTGGGGGCAGGCATCTGTCCCACCAGGCTGCTCCTGTGTCTCGATCCTGGGCTGCAGGAGCTCTGCTCCAGAGCTATTTAAAGCTCTAACTTTGTTTTCCCCTTGATTCCCAGCAGCGTCAGGTATCCATGGTGCGGTGGCACAGCAGAGGAGGAGCAGACAGTTCCCTTCAGCTCATGGTTCAAATAGCAGGCCTGGGAGCTGGGTGGCCACTTGGCTTTTTTATAGTGTCCGGTATTTGTCTTTTTGGCTCCTGGGGTCTCTGCCCTGTGTCAGATGGGGATGAGGGAACAGCAGAGCCCCGGGGTTTGCTGAAGTGCTGCTGCTCTGTGAAGGTGTGCTCGCGGGGGTCTGGAGTGACAAGTGTCAAGGTGATGCCTTTTGATGCCTTTCCCAAATCAGACTTCCCTTAATGAAAGCTGCAGTGAAAATTTGAAAGAGGATTAAGTGAGGATTAATAAAGGAAAGGTAGGGAAGAGGTTTGATTATCTGTCACAGGGATCCTGGCTGGGTAACGTGTCATGGCAGTGAGATGGAACAGAAAATTCTGCACACCTGGGGTATTGATCAGTGGGTGTTGAAACTTATAGTTCTTTCTGCTCATTTGTGCTGACCCCAGACTGGTGCAATACACTTCCCAAAACGAGTGATTTGTCCTGGAAGGGCTGGTGCTCCTTCCTGTGCCTTGGAGCAGGTGAGAGGCCATCTGGGAGCTGCATCAGGACTCCTTGTTGCCAGGACAAGCCTGGATCTCCCTTCAGAGAAGAAAATGATGGTGTCTGGGGTTCTGGTTTGGACAAGCTGCTTGTCTCAGGGCTTGGGAGGGGATATTTGGAAGCATCTTCAGGCAGCAGGAGTTGACAGTGTCTGCTGCTGGGCTGTCTCCCCTTGCTCTGGCCACCTCCACGAGGCAATACATCCCTGGATGTCAGGGGCACAGAAAGGGTCTTCGGAGTTTGACAGATGTTTTCTTGATCCTCTTCAGAGCTGTCAGTGAAGGCATGGTGTTGGGAATGTGGTCTTTGTCAAATAAGCAGGAAGGACAGGCCCCCAGAGGGAGGTCCTCAGCCTCACCCAGGGCTGCTGGTGTGTTGGGGCTGGGGGGGCCTGGGTGGGGAGTGCTGGGGGAGCAGCAGGATCTGACTGATCTGCAGGAGTGGGGCCCGGAGCAGGTGCTGGTGTGACACCATCTCTGTGCTCAGCCAGCTCCTGAACATCGAGCCAAGATGATAAAAGCAGAGAAGCTCACACAGAGGGTCGGTGCTGCTCCGGAGTTATCTCCGTGTGCAGGCGCTCCAGGCAGCGGAGCCGCACCGAGAAGGGCCGTTCTCTGTGTGTTTCATGTATTTTTAATGCAATCCTGTAGAGTACTAATAAGATCTTTGTGCAGCTCGAGCTTCCATGAGGGCCACTGGTCGTGGCAAAACACCCAGGGATGTGTGTGTGGGCTGTGGGTGTCCCAAGTGCCAGCACACCGCTGGCACGTGCTGGGGGAAGGTTGCAGCATGTTGGCTCAAGACCTCACCCCTCCCCGTGGCTCAAAGGGGAGGTGGGAAAGGGGGCAAGAGCCCCATTTGGAGCTGGTCAGCTGGACAGGGGCAGGGCAGACTTGTCTGCCTGGAAAAACCCTGTGGAGGGGATTTCTTGTGGTGTGCTGGGACAGTGCTCAGGGGAACAGCATCCCCTTGCTGTTTATCCCTTAGGTTTCCTGCAGGGAATAAAAGGAGAGGCTGGCCTGATTCACAGAGCGTGTACTTCAGCACTCCCTTTCTCTCTCCAGCAATTTCCCTGTCCTCTTGCTTCTTAAGAGCTTAAGGATCATTTTCCTCTTGCAGTTGGTAATACGAGAGGAGATGAGTAAGTACAGATCTCTGCGACCCATAAACCGTAAAGTCCTGCCTGCAACTTAAACCTCTACAGCTTTATTTGCTTTGTCGTGGCTTCTCACATGTGCTGGGGTTTAACAAACACGAGTTTTTCCTCTGGAGATAGACTTAAAAAGGGGCTGTAAGGAGCAGTGTTGTTCTCGGAGCATCTTGTGCTGTGCTTTGCCTTGAGACGTGTGTGACTTCAGAAGGGAACAGCAGCAGGTCTGCCCGGGCTCTTCTGCTCCTCCTGTGTTGGTTTGCAGCCTGTGCTGCTGAGTTTGTTTTTGGCTTCAGCTGGCAGTGACTCCCAGGCAGTTCTGTGACTCCCAGACAGCTCTGTGCCACAAACTGTGCCACAATAGTGCCATCACAGTGTCTGCAGAGGATGGGGATGTTGGTTCCCAGTGCTGGGAGGGTTTTCCTGCTGGTTGCAGGGGAGGGTGGCTGTGCAGAGAGGCCACAGCCGGTGCAGGCGAGGGGAAGAAGGAGCAAGTTGGCAGGGAAGGATCTGTGAAAGTAGGGCATCCTGGTGCTGTTGTGTAACAGCAGCCTCTCTCCTCCCCAGCCCTCTGCCTCCTGGGGAATTTATGACTGAGTTCACTGCGATTCTATATTTGGCTGAAATATTGAAAAATGCATTTGCTGTCAATGGGTTCCTTTAATATAAAAGGAAGGAGATTTATGGGAAGAGCAGTGCTGGCATCACAAGTGCCCTTTGTCTTTACTTGTGCAGTCAGTTCCCTCTTACCCTGTACCTGTTTGAGCCAGGTGTGCTCTTTGGGAAGGTGAGGATGTGAAGCTGTAAGGGTACCTCGATTTTCCACCTCCTGGAAGATGCCTGAGGACACAGGGTGGCAGTCACAGAAGACTTTGGGGGTTGTTCCTTTTAGTGCTCTGCGCATTTTTATTCTTGAACTTTTCCAGTTGAATTTGCAGAGGTAAAACCTGGGACACAACAAATCTTACATTTAACTTGATCCATTCCTGTTTGTGTCCAGTGTGTTGGTGCTTTAAAAGGACACAGGAACTACCTCTCAAGGATGCAATCCAAAGTTAGTGAGGTTCACAGCTACCAGCTCTGAACAGAAAATGTTGTCAGCAGTCGGGTTAGATCTGCAGTGTGTGGGCGAGGTGTTGTGACAAACGGTCGCTGTACCCGAGGCACCAGGGGTATGGGATGGTGTGGAATGGTGTGGAGTGGTATGGAATGGTGTGGAATGGAGTAGGCTGACCACAGCCACCAAAATAATGTCACAGCCGTGGGTGGAGCACCTGTTGGCAAACGATCCTCAGATTATCCTTCCTCCTTCCCCGAGCAGTTCAGTGGCCTTGCCAGTGTGCTGATGCCTGGGCTCCAGGAAAATCCAGGGAGCTCTGGAGCAAGGAAGGGCAAAATTAATTTGACTTCTGGAACCCAAAGAGCAGGAAGGCTGCAGTAGGGGCAGCCTGCTCCTGGAAAGGAACAGTAATTCAGTGGGAAACATCTCCAATTTTGTTCTTTTTGATGAATTCTCTGAATTGTGTGTCTAATTGTGCTCAGTTATTCCTGCCCTGCACGGGTGGGTTCCTGGTTTCCAGGCAGGGATGTACATTGATTTCTTTCACAGGCCTTGAGACAAAAGTAATTCATAAAGGACGAGGACCTTTGCTCTGCTGTCAGTGTGGGGGGGTTGTGTTTCAATGTCTGTATTGTTGGCAGCCTTTACATTGATTCAGTCTGAAACCTGAATGAGAAATCAGTGTGTTCTTGTGTGGACATGTTTCAACTGAATTATTAAATGAAGTGACTGACTCTTCTCTCTGAATTAAACCAGAAGAAAAACTACAATTAACTATTTCATTGACTGGGCAGAAGCAGCAAAATTGATGTGAGACATTGACCTCATAGATTTTTCTTGCCTGTATTGTGGAAGTGGGGGTGAGCTTTTAGGGAGATAAGAGTGCTGTGACAACTTTGTTCCCAGGAATACAAATGGTTTCAGTTCATTCTTGTACCTCTCTTGCTTTATTTCTCCTTCCCTTGGTGAGGACCTGCTTCAGCCTTACTCTGCCAGGGCTTAGGAGTCCCATCATGCTGCAATTTACCTTATCCCTGCTCTCCTGGTGGTCCTCAGTGGCTTGTATGGCAGGGAAGAGGCACAGAACTGCTTCTGGTTGGGACGTTTGTCTTATGAAACCTGTGTTCATTTTGCATTTCAACATAACTGGCTTTTCCAGGAAGATTCCAGCAAGTCTCAGGCACCAGGGAAAGGTCATTTGGTGGCAGTCCCTGGGACGCTGGCAGGTGTCCTGCACCCCACGTGGGGCCAGCACCCAACAGCCTCTCTGCTGCCAGGCGTGTTAGAGGTGACAGGGAGATTCTTCCTTGGCACAGCTGCCTGCCCCTGGTCAAGCTGGGAAAGGCCTTGTGTGAGGGTGGGAAGCAGCGTGTGGGGAATGCTCGGTGAGGGTCCATGGGGCAGCCGAGCAGGACCCAGCCCTGGCTCAGGGATGGAGCAGCACTGCCCTGAGACAGGGAGGGGGAGAGGTTTGTGGCAGAAGCCAGGCTTCCATTTGTTGTGTGTTCCAGCCTCGTATCTGTCCTTGAACAGATGGACAGCAACTCTGGGGGTGCTGTGAGCTGGGCAGAGTGACCTCAGCTGACCCCTCATCCTCCCCAGGGCTGTAATCTCTGAGCCTTGGGCACAGGGTGTGGCTGGGATTAAGCAGAGATTATGTAGAAAATCCCTGGGATCTGGAGTGCCGCCAGCTGTTTGCTCCAGAGGACGATGCTGTGGTTGGAAGAGCAGGTGGTTTTCTGTGCAGCACAAAATAATGTGCTTTTTGAGATCTGGGAACACGCTGCTCTGTACAGCTCTGCACACAGAACTGCAGGACTGCATTTCCTTCCTGGTGTGTGCTGCCACACTGCAGTGCTCTGAGCCCCTTGGAGAGGGGAAAACAGGCATTTTATGCAGAATACCCAAGTTAGTCTCCTAATACAAAATTTTATTACCTACGTAAGAGTGCATTTCTCACACCATGCGGCATCAGTAATGGATTCTGTTGGCTCCAGTGTAATACTTTTTAAATGTCCCAGTTGTGCCTCTAAATATATAAATCATAGAGTCCTAGAATGGTTTGGGTTGGAAGGGACTTTAAAGCTCATCCCATTCCACCCCCTGCCATGGGCAGGGACACCTTCCATTATCCCAGGCTGCTCCAAGCCCCATCCAGCCTGACCTTGGACACTTCCAGGGATGGGGCAGCCACAGCTTCTCTGGGCAACCTGTGCCAGGGCCTCCCCACCCTCAAGCTATAACAGAATATATACAGGAGTAACAGTTATTACCTCTGCTGTAACTCCACGCCTAAAGTTTCATTAGGAATCCCTTGGGACCTCATGGGGTATGTGGTGTTTTGGTATGAGGCAGGGGTGGGAGGGACCTTGGTGTTTGCCTGATTTGAGGAGTGAACAGAGAAAGGCTTTTCCCTTTGGTTCAGTTTTTCCCCCTCTTGAGGCAGCCCGGCACAGCTGGGTGCTGGGGAGCTGCTGCAGGCCCTGGGCTCTGATGAACAGCACTGCCAGCACCGAGGGGGGCCCGAGGGAGAGATGCCTTCGGCTCTGCAGCCTCAAACTGGTGACAGTCTCGTGTGGCACTGGGGGTCTGTTAAGTGTGTTCACATATCTCTGTCTTACATGTGGCAGCTCCTTGAACCTTATCAATTTTTAATGGTACTCCACTGTAATAAGAATATATGATCACTCACTGGGCAGGAGAGGCTCAAATCCCTGCAAATGCAGGTTTTCTGTGAGGTTTCTGAGAGCAATATAGCAGGAGGCATTTAAGGCGTGCTGGTAGAAGAAGGTGAGCTATCCATCAACCACACAATCTTGGATTTGAGTCTTCTATTTAGATTAAACACGTTAAGAAAGATGGATGGTAAACGTATTTCAGCAGCATTGTCCCCAAACCAGAGCAGAATATAAAGAGTCTGGGAGAAGGATTCAATTACACTGGCAAATAGCTCGAGCAGGAGCTGGGTAGGAAGGGAGCTCGTAGGGCAGTGGGATGTGGATTTATGGAGTTCTGCAATAAAAACACAGTTTTCATTAAACCCTCCCATTCCCATCACATTTGTACTCCATGGAAACACACCTGTAAGCAGGTCTAGATGGTGACTTCGTGCTACTGTACAGGTGTTGATATGTGTTTGATAGTTTATGTACACGAGTGGCATCCCAAATTCATGCTCCCACCAGCTTGGGAATTTGGTTTGACTGTGTTCTTGTTGGGAACTGCTTCTGTGCTGGTGCCTTTAGGTGACTGGTGACTGAGAGGTGATGTTGGCGTTCCCTGCCTTAAGTGCACAGAATCTGGAGAGGGAGAGACCTGACCAAACCCTTTGATAATCTCAGTATTGGCTCACAGGGTGTATTCCTGAGGTGGTTTAGTGCTGCCAGGATGAGGAGGGTGGGTTTGCTGATTGTGCCCAGAAAGCATCAAAAGAAATAAATGGGTTATTATCAGTGTGTAAGGGGTGTGCTTGAAAAGGCCAAGGCAGGAGAGGTGGCTGTGTTGCAGGGCTTTCTTGTGCGATTATTCAGTGCCCAAGACAAATATTAACAGCAAATGGTATATTCTGCCTCAATACAAGGTTCAGGGGAGTGGGAGTGGGGCTTGCCAGCACTGCCATTGTGAGCCTGTTTTCCTGCAGTGTTCCTTGAGGTGTGCAATTACCTGGCACTGATGGTGAGGGGTTTTCTTATCTTGACGTAACTGCGGGAGCTGAAACTTTGTTCTTTTCCTCTCAGTCTGGCACCTGGCAATTAAGGAACCGTACTATGCCTGTGCTTTGATCTTTACCTGCTTCTGCAGTCCCTGGTGTTGCTGTGATTCGGAGGAGGGGAAGGACTGGCCATTGCTGAGCCCGACAGCTCGTGTGGCACTTCACTGTCGGGGCAGAGTGTCACTGGGTTTGTGTGCTCATTGTATTCCTCGTGTGCCAAACCTGCAAAATAAACCCCCAAAGCCTGCTGGGGTGAACTCCCGTCCTCGAAACACTCAGTTCTCTGCTGATGCCCCTCGTGGGGGGCATTACAGTGCAGGGAAGGGCTGACACGATTTTGTTGTCAGTTGTGGTTCTTTTAATTGAAGATAAGTGATTTTTCTTTCCAGATTCTTGTTGCTATTCTGCGTTCAGTTGTTTAGTCCACATTTTGACAGATATGGAGAGCCAGGTAACAGCCCAAGATTGAATGCTGGGTGAGGTCAGGACTAAGTTAGGATGCAGGGAATGGGTAAGTAGCTGCTGTGGCTGTGACTCATCCCATGAGTTCCCTGTCCAGGGTTTTGTGCTCGAGACCTCCCTGCAGAGCAAACACCTCCTATCAGCTCATGGGCTGTAGGACAAGAGGCCCCAGTAGGTTGCTGACACTTGCAAGCACATTCTGCTTTCTCTGGGGCTTTTTCACTTGGCTGTTTAACAAAAAACAACACAGAAACTGAAAAACCCCAACCCACACACACATTCGCCTGGGATTTCTCTCCTTCTGGAATTTGTTTGGATGCACTGCCTCTGAAAGATACCTCAGCTCTGTGTCTTGCTCTCTTTCTGTGTTTTAGGCAGGGGTTGTGCTGAGGTTTTTTCCAAGAGGTTTGTGTTTAATTTCCTTATAGCTCTGAGTGACCTCTGAGCTGAGTGCCTTGTGGAGCTGCCTCTGTGTGTGCTCCCAGACACCCTCCCTTGATTCTTTGGGTCATGGGGATTTCCCAAGATGGCAATGTCAGGATAATCTCTCTTAAACACAATTTTAAATTAATCTGTGTGGATTTCCAGTATCATTTTTCCAACTTGTTTTTGGTCACTGGTTGCTGTGCAAGTCACGTAGTCACCGAAGTGAGAGGGACCTCCCAGTGGAGCCCCACAGCTTGGGATAGAGTTGGAGCCTCAGGAGAAGGTGACTTGGATGATTTTGTAGCCATAGGAGCCAGCAAAATCCCTCCTGCGTTTTTTGTTGTGTCTGTGGCTTGTCAACCATTCAGAGCTTTCTTCTTCTTCCTCCGGGGTTGGTGTCCAGCCAACATTTAGGATATTTTTTCACTTCATTGCCCAAATCTTTTCATTTCGCACCATTCCCCGTGTGATTTGGGTATGTTTGAGCATGTGCCACACTTGTGCTGTCAGGCCACGGTCACCACGCTGTGAAGCAGGTCCCAAGCCTTCCC